ATTTTGCATATAATTCTATTGCTTACAAAATATTGATGTTTTGAACACAAAACTGACAGTGAACATCAAACCATGGATATTTAAAACCAGTTTGAGTTAAATCATTATGAACAGTGAATACATAAAAATAGTGTTTGTTATTTTAAAAATTGTGTTTCACAATCCCCTACTTAGCAAAGTGATTTATCAACATCAAATTCAAAATGTAGTTGAGCTAAAGATTCCTGTGATTCACGAACTTGTCCATTTTGTCAAGAGTTTGTTCCTTACCTGGAAACAATGTAATATGGTTGAACACTTCTTTTAATTCCTTGCTGATGAAACTAGAGTTCTTATACACTCCAGTTTACTGTTTGCATCAGGAATGATCTGATGTTAAAACTAGAGTTCTTATATACTCCCGTCTAGTTTCTTCATAAGGAGTGATATGATATTTAAACACAAGTTCTGATATACTCCAATCTAGTGTCTTTATCAGGAGTTATCTGAATGTTGTAACTTGAGTTCTTATACACTCCAGTCTAATGTCTTCCTCAGAGGTGATCTGATGTTGAAACATGAGTTTTTATATACTCCAGTCTAATGTCTTCATCAGGAGTGACCTGATGTTAAAACATGAGTACTTATATACTTCAGTCTAATGTTTTCATCAGGAGTGATCTGATGTTGAAACTTTAGTCCTTATATACTTCAGTCTAATGTCTTCATCAGGACTGATCTGATGTTGAAACTTTAGTCCTTTTATACTTCAGTCTAATGTCTTCATCAGGAGTGATCTGATGTTTAAACACAAGCTGTTATATACTTCAATCTAGTGTCTTCATCAAGAGTGATCTGATGTTGAAACTTGAGTTCTTATAAACTTCAGTCCACTGTCTTCATCAAGAGTGATCTGATGTTAAAACTTGAGTTCTTATACACTCCAGTCTACTATCTTCATCAAGAGTGATCTGATGTTAAAACTTGAGTTCTTATACACTCCAGTCTACTATCTTCATCAGGAGTGATCTGATGTTAAAACTTGAGTTCTTATATACTCCAGTCGTGTGTCTTCATCAGGAGTGATCTGATGTTAAAACTTGAGTTCTTACATACTCCAGTCTAGTGTCTTCATCAGGAGTGACCTCATGTTGAAACTTGAGTTCTTATATATGCCGGTCTAGTGTCTTCATCAGGAGTGACCTAATGTTGAAACTTGAGTTCTTATGTACTCCAGTCTAGTGTCTTCTTCAGGAGTGATCTGATGTTAAAATTTGAGTACTTATATACTCCAGTCTAGTATCTTCATCAGGAGTGATCTGATGTTGAAACTTGAGTTCTTATATACTCCAGTCTAGTGTCTTCATCAGGAGTGATCTGATGTTGAAACTTAAGTCCTTATATACTTCAGTCTAATGTCTTCATCAGGAGTGATCTGATCTTTAAACACAAGTTCTTATATACTCCAGTCTAGTGTCCCCATCAGGAGTGATCTGATGTTTAAACACAAGTTCTTATATAGTCCGGTCTAGTGTCTTCATCAGGAGTGATCTGATGTTGAAACTTGAGTTCTTATATACTGTAGTCTAATGTCTTCATCAGAAGTGATCTGATCTGATGCTGAAAATTTAGTTGGTATACAGTCTAAAATAGTCTCTCAAACATGAGTGAGAGAACCTCCCAACTTGACTTTCATGAATCACTGAGTAATTTTATATGACATCTATGTAAATTCTAAGATCATTTCAGAAGACAATCATTCATCTCTCAAGAGTTTCATCATATTTTGACAATAACATAACCATACCAAATGCATGCAATTTTCCTTCATTGAAGTTTGATCCTCTGAAAGCTTTAATGATGACATTTCTGATGACAGTGCTAGAGATGACAGTTCTGATGATGACAGTACTAGAGATGACAGTTCTAGTGATGATAATTTCATCAATAATAGCCCTGGTTATGGTGCGTCAAATGATCTCTTTAAATCCGATGATAATCATTTATTTGAAAAGATGTTTCATGATGATGAGTTTGACATTAAAGAAGATGTGCACATAAAGCTCAAAAGGTGAACTTTTCTCGAAAGTTACTTACGTCTAGAGACATGCCGTTAATACAAGAGGATGATTCCGTATGATCTTAATCGCACTAGATTAATTAAGCATTTAAAATATAGACGATCGACTTAATATCGAGTCATCTTCAATTTATGAATGCAGTTGAGCATTTACAATTTTAAATATATATATTAGGATATATGACACATATGAGTAATAATCAGTAGAAGGATAATGTGTTACAATCAATCTTAGAAGTAATATTTACTTGGCATGCAATGTGAGTGTGATAATGCCTTATTGAAATATTACAATTGGGAAATGGTTTTGAAGGGCTTCGTTTGTTTATTGAGATCGGCTTTGTGTTTGCGTATGTTTAGAGATTCTTTAAGTTAGAGAGAAAATTAAGTGCAGGCAGTGTCTAAGATGGTGAGGCAAAAGTGAGTGTATTTGAATTTGCTGTTAAGATTTTTTATTTTATTCGGAATTTATGTGCTTTTTAAGCCAGGTGGTAACATGACGGGTTATCATTCACCATGAAAAATAATTTGTTCAGAGCAATATTAAAATATATTAGCACAACAAGTTCTTTGTTTTTCACTTTTATTGAAAGGAGGTTTTAATGAAGATGTTTTCATTCTATACTGTGGCCTTATGATGAATAGCGTTTAAATAAAACGTTCATAAAACTGATGATAAAAACATTTTTAGATAATTCACAAGGTTGTCCGAGGCTACCAGCAAAAACAACTTTGACAGATTAAGTCTCAGGTAAAAAATTCTGAAATCAGTTGTAGAAGACATACCATTCACACACATCTTTTATTGTAATGCTAGAGTAGAGTTGTTTCAAAGGGACTTACTCCTGTTAAAATGCTACGAACGAGCAAGTATAATCCAAACAATAACATTAAATTGTTTACCATAAAGGTATGCACACAGTCGTTTGTGGATTACTTAAAGTTGTTGTGAAACAACAATTTTGTTACTTCAAGTATATTTTCATCAGATAAAATTTTCAAAATGACACTAGACTTTCCAAAACAGTCTATGCACGTCTCTTTTCATTTTCAAGGTACCTAGGTTTTTGTTTACTATAAAACCCAATTACAAAAAAAGTGACATCACAATTTGTAATTACAACTTGAATTATCAGGTATATTTGGCAATATATTCATCAGCCGGGCTTGCAGAGTTCCCATTGTGAACTGTTAATGATATAAAATTCTGCTTCTGCATTTCTTGAAAGAGTTGCAATAAAACAATAGCAAAATTTTCAGTCACGATATAGTGATGCAAGTATAAGAACATTACTACTTTTACGTCCTTTCACACTAGTTGTAAAACTAAACGTCGAGTAGCTGGTGAAAAATTGAGTTTCTCGAACGAACACAAAGAAATGAAGCAAATGTACGAAAAAATTTCCATAGGAGATATCACCGATGACGAGGAATAGTTTTATATTCCTCATAAGAATGAAGCTGAACAAATAAAACTTGGTACTCCATAAACATTAAAAGAAAACTGATATTATAGGATTTATAGCCATCACACTTAATGATTGTAAAACCATTTCTTGCATGTCTATTGTGATTGAGGAGCCCCATTGAAAAAGAGTGACAGAAAAATTAAGTAAATTAAGTGCTTTGTTTGAATTACGAAAAATTGCAAATAACCTGACGTGTTTCCTTCAATAGCCTTATCAACATTGAACGTAAGCTTCCTTTTTCTGAAAGAAAGAGAGATTCATTAATGCTAATATATTTCTACAGTGAGGACACGGAAGAGCACATAGATCTTGGGTATGGAGTTTGTGAACATAAGAAAGCTGTTAAGACTGCTTATTCAGTCTTTAGAATAAACGATGCGTTGAAGCAATGTATAGGGAATATCCACTATGGTAATCACATGCGCATAATAAGACATGGGTGGCACTTATTACATAGCACAACACCAACTGTTTTTTTTTGTACAAATATAGATATAAAGAAAAATACCATATAGAGATTTTATTTTTCTTCCACACAACTTACGAATAACTTCGAATAAGAAATAACCAGAGTATATACCTCTGTTTTTATCGTTGTTAAACAACTCTTTTTAGGGTGCCCATTGCAATTTGATTGTTTGGGTACTAGTTGCCTTGCCCACCCAGAGTTAATAGCAGTTATGCAAATGTATAGGTCAGGACAGGGAGGTTCACTTCTTATTACGTAAACCATGTGATCCGAAAAGCATGTAATTTAGGAAAATTTAAATAAACTTTGAGTAATTTTAAGCAAATATAGCAAAAATACAGTCAAAATGTTAAGGGCTTCAGTTTCAAAACTTTTTTGTTTGCTATTCCTCGTGATCAATAAATTTTTGGTTTTCACCTAAAATTTTATCAAAATTTTCTTGTTAAATGTTTGTTGCTCAAACACTTCCTTGTCGCCTTCTTTTTAGGGGGAGTGAGTTATTTCCAGGGAGAAATAGTTCAATTTTGCCATTCTTTTGGTGTCAGCTGATCCAGTTATACAGAACCATTGAGCTGTAACATCAACTAGAATGATTGCTCTATACAAACGCTTTATGATTTATTAAGTCAACTGAAAGGCCTTGGGAGTATGCTTTGTTGTTGACTGACGTTTCGACAACCTTAGCGGTAGTCATATTCAGAGTCAAAAGCGACGCGCGCGCTTCTCATGTGACTTTTCGTTCTTGACTGATGACTAGTAGAATTCAATCAAACATCAACTTACAGGTAAGTCTTGTTTGATATAAGAATTATGTATCAAGTATCAGACGTCTTGACGGCTTTATGATTTGATAATTCAACTGGAAGGCCTTGGGAGTATGCAAAACTATGATTCCAAACACAAAATCATTTGAACATAGTTTGTAAGCAAAACATGCTTCAAATTTGTGTAGTATAAAAATGTGAAAGTTCAGACAGAAATGAAAACGTCTTAACCACTGATCTTTGCATCAGCAAAACATTTTATTAATAGGCAAGTTTAATCTTTACGTGCTTTACAGTGTTATCATTTTTTCCGCTCTATTATTACATGTAATGCATTTAAGAAGTTTTTTAGTTTATCAATTACTTACTCTTTATTTTGTAATAGTGGTAATGATGTTGCATAATGAAGTTTTGTCTCTGCTTTGTTACATTTTTAAAATTTATTGTGTATGATCGGGATTTATGACAATCTTTTTGTCAAAATTTTTTGAGTTGATTAAAAACATTTCGTTGACATTATAAATTAAATGTATAGCTACAGTAAGCAGTTTATTAAGTGTAAAAGGACATTAGATCTGACTTGTATTTCGAAACTATTACTTAATTCGCCCCTTTTATCATGTTTTCCACTTCCTGCCTCCAACTTTCCCACCACTCCTTCTCTTTTTCTTTTTCACCATATTTCCTCGTATTTTCATTTTCCAAAGATTTCACCTTTGCCTCAAGCTTCGTATTTTTATCTTCCAATGATTTTACCTTTTCTTCTAATAATTCATTTGACGATTTAAGCTTTGTAGTCTCAGCTTCTAATGACGAAATGCGACCGCGCAAAAACTGAATTTGACGGTTACCATTTGCTTCTACCTCATCAATTTTACTCCGTAATTCTATTGCCGTGTCCATTTGTATTGCTACACTCGATTTAATTTCCGTCATTTCCGGTGGCAATTCGCTGAAACGCCCATCGATTTTGGCGACTTGTACTCCAAGATAGGTAGATTGTTGAATGATGTCCTTTGAATATTGAATAAATAGAATTATAACACTTCTCCCTTTATAATATCCAATTTTATAATTTTCTATATTGTACAATTGAATTTTAACTAGTTCCAAATTCACCAATTTCTAAAAGTTTCCTACTTGTTTGAATTTGTTATTACGTTCAAAGATCATGAAACATGCATTAATGCAGACTTTCAAGTCAACGAATATCATTTGCAAAGACGTGTTCAAAATCGATTTGGAATACTTGGAGAAATTTTAACGGAAGTTAAAATGAGCACATTATTCCAACAAAGAACTCCTTATCAAGAATGTCATACCGTAAATTGTTTATTGTCAAAAAGGTCAACATTTCATTTCCTATGTTTTTGAATTTTTATGATATATCTAAACATCATAGAGATTCTTTTTCGTTATTTTCCATGTAAGAAAAATTGATTATGTATTAACTATCAGTCGTCTTGAAAATAACACCAAGTAAATTTGAAGTAAAAGAAAATGAGTTTAAAACGTCGGATTTAATTCAGATATCGTAGTTCAAATCAAAAACGTCATAATTTCTGTTAACAATTCAATGCAAATCGCGTAGCATTAAAAAAAGCGGGATTTTTTGATGGTGTTATCATCACATATGCCCATTTTAAATGTCGTGAAAATAGTCGACAATTGCCAATAAGGTGAAGAACGATATCAAGAACTATTCAGACTGAAGTCAAATTGTTTCATTGTACATTAATAAATGCAGAAGCTTTCAATATTTTGTATGGAAGTAATAAAGTCTTCCATACTTTGACATGAACCGCTTTTTGTGTCTTTTTTATGTCTTTTTTCAATAATTCGAGTAAAAACAGTTGTAAAACGCCTAAAAATCTCAAACAAATTTCCCACCGAATACTTCTTACGATGTCATTAGCCACATTGAAAATTGTGTCACCTAAAATTAATTTCCGTTTGCTCAATCTCTGTCAGCATTTTTCAATTTTAGCTATAAAAAGGGTGTCTCAAAAAGCACATCTTTGATGACATTACAATCTGACATTTAGAATCTGACAATCCTATAAGAAGTCGTAAACGCAGTTGAACACAATAATTTATACGTATTTAAGCTAAGTTATTTTGTATCTTATCTTTACTTCAAGCTGTTTCTTTTAGATTGATCTTTTTAAGAAAACAGTTTTTGGCTTTTGCTATCCAGCTTCTGAGCTTCAGAAGTACGACTAAAGTTCACAATAGTTCTCATTTTCAACATTTTTTTAAAAAAGCGACTATATTCACTGCTGCGAAAACGGACTGGTAGGCTGTATAATTTACAGTAGTGTTATTAAAAACTTAAATAATGAAAAAAAATTTTGATATTACTACTACTTCAAAAAAGCTTCTGTAGTTTAGTGTAAGTGCTATGGATTTGGTAAGATGCGATATCGGGTTTGAAACTAACTTCCGCCATGATAAATATTTATTTCTTCATAAAATGAACTTTATCTTTAATTTTTTTTCAATAAAACAATATAGCTAGGAAAAACCTCTTTATGAGAAAATTTTCAATATTTCATTTATTATTCGTGTATTTCTGTATTTGTATACTTATTTGTGTATTATACATTTGTGAATTTCATATATTATTTGCAACTGGCATTATACATACAATGGTATAAAGTATTAAACACAAGCAATAAAAGTACATATTAACCAACCTTAATAATCTTAAAATATGGACTTTCTTCTTTTATTTTCTTATTTGGGTGCAGAACACGCGGACTCAAGTTTAGTGATCTTGATTTGACAAACCTCCTTTGGAAAATGAAACTGCGCAATATTGTCATTCCATTCTCCCCACGTCGTTACAGATGGTTGGTTCAATGATTCTACATATTTCATCAAAAATTCTAACAACAGCGGAGCGCAATGCTCTTAATGTTAACTTAAATGAAGTTTAATCAAAGAGCAATTATGTACACACAATTTAAAGTGAATAGTTTGAACCCGGAGTGTCATATGTTTGGAGATGTTCTTAAGAAAGTTTAACCTAATTTCAGCACTTTGGTATGTTTTAAACTCTAAATTATCGATCAAACAAAGATACAGTTTTGAAATATTTAAAGATTATAGTGTTTATAGTCTTTGGAATTTTATGTTGCTTGATGCATTTATAAAAAAAGCAAGCAAGTGCAAGCTCCTGGAAATTTTGTTCGAAATTGCGCTCTTTCACAAATCACCATTTGAGAATTGAGTATGAACTTTTTAGCCCAACTTTGTTTGGTTAGCTTTGTATGTTTGATTAAGTATTGTATTGTATTGTTTATGTAAAATTAGTCATTATGTAAAAGTGGAAAGGGTATTCAAAAAGGGAACTTTTCATACAACTACCAGTAAAATCGTAGGAAAAAGCAATAATTAGGAGTAAGCAAACTCTGGTATATAAAATTCTAACTCTTTCAGGGCATTTTGAACTATATAACTATATAACTACTGGGACATTTACCTGTAAACTTTCCCTGTAGTGAACATCGATCGTGATATACTGGTAGAATGGATCTATTTCTAACCATAAAGGAGGGCTTTTGGTTATGAAATATAACGCATTATTATTGAAAGTACTTCAAAGAAATATACTTAGCTGTGTGATAGATTACTTAAAAATTTCATAAGACCTCAGCATAAATGAACTTATGACTCGTGAAAATTGTATCAGAATGATCTTACATAAGCATAAATAATACACAAAGTACTTAAGAGTCAATATTCAAATGAATGTTTATTCAAAATTGCGTGGAAAACAAAGTACTAACATCTAATATAACAGGTTTTGACGTTAAGAATGCAAGTTATTCGTATAAATTTACATTTAAAAATATGAACTAAGATAACAATTATGTCAGATGAGCGCTAATTTGGCTGCGTTTGTCAGATACTAGAATGATGCTGGAAAATTAATAATGATTTATAAGTGATGATATTAAATTAGAAATTGGTTTATAAACAACTTGAAGTCAATCCTTAATGCAAAAACCTCTACAGAGTTGATTACTGATAGTAGAGACCATTTTACCCATATTTTCGGAGCTGTCATATTTGGACAGATTGTTAAAGATTTCTGGCAGTCATATTCAAAAATAAACATAAACAGTATAAATCATGTTGCTAATATCCAATATGTTGGTATAGCCATAGTCATGTAAATTTTGTATACTATATAATAGAGTTAACTATACTATAGTGTTACTAACAGTTTTTGTGTTGAGAAATTATTTTTCTTTAATAAATATATATGAAATGAGAATAAACACCTGTTAATTTTATATTTGTTTTGACAATGGGCCATTACACTCACTTAAGCCCCATTGAGCTCTTTGGAATCTTTTCTGATAATTCGAAACAGTTCCTCTCCTTATTTTTCAAAGAAATAAAAGCTGGACGCCGTATAGCCATCTCAAAAACTAAAAAAAGTTATTCATTAGATATGCATCCATTGTTGTTGACCAGTTTACCCAATAATTTACACATCTTCTATAACTTGGTATAAAAGTTAATCCCGTTCCATCAGTTAAAGATATTGGTTTTACTTTAGACAGTCCCTGTATTGTCAGAATTAGTGGTGACCATTGAGTTCTTTTAGATTTGGAGCAGTTATCTCAAGCGCGGATTTAGATATCGGATGTTGTAAAAAATATGGCGGATTTCGTCCTCTTCCGCTGAGATTTAACGAAAATGACTGCTTTTCCAAAAATTTCACAATTTTCCACTGCCACCTTAAGAAAGGAGCAAGCAAAAAGTATGTGTAATATTTGGATTTGGCATGCAATTTTTTGATGAAAATTAAGGTAAAAACCTAAAATTCATAACAGCGAGTCAACAATCTACTAAAACATTTTGATAAAGATATGACATGATTTAACCTTTTTCCAGTTATATAAAACCTAATGGCTTATACAGTTTGAAGCTTCACATCTGCATTGAGTTATCATCAATCTCAATACCAATATTTACATAAACACAAATTTTATGACCATCCCATTTTATGACATTTCATAAAGCATCGAAACACACAACCTTCTTGCCATTTTTCTTTTGGTACTTGAACTTTAATTTCAAAACATTCAAGAAATCCTAAGAGAATCCATTGTTTCCGTCCATAGAATTTGACAATGATCAAATTAAATGACTAAATACAAGGCTATGTCATGTGTCATAGAATTTGACAATGATCAAATTAAATGACTAAATACAAGGCTATGTCATGTGTCATAGAATTTGACAATGATCAAATTAAATGACTAAATACAAGGCTATGTCATGCGTCATAGAATTTGACAATGATCAAATTAAATGACTAAATACAAGGCTATGTCATGTGTCATAGAATTTGACAATGATCAAATTAAATGACTAAATACAAGGCTATGTCATGTGTCATAGAATTTGACAATGATCAAATTAAATGACTAAATACAAGGCTATGTCATGTGTCATAGAATTTGACAATGATCAAATCAAATGACTAAATACAAGGCTATGTCATGTGTCATATGAAAAATCACATATCAAACTATCTGAAACGGCTAATTTGACAATTTGCATTTCACACAGACGAATGGCAGAAACAGTTAAAAAACTCTATTTTACTAATAAATGTTGTCTATAATTAGTCAATTGATCAGTTAATTTGAAGTATTACTTAAAGGGACAAGTCAAGTTTTCTTTGCCATCTATGAATTTTGACAATAAATTTATTAGAGCCACTGTCCTCAGGTTTCGATCATCGATGTTCATTTTCAAATATACACAATTTTCCGGCCTTTTTTATAACGTTTGATGTCGAAAAGTCGCAGTAAGCTTCTTCTAAGGACTATAAGGACAAAAAAAGCAATTCCTAACTTAGCTTTGATCGTTTTGATGAAGATTTTGTCTAACAATAACTAGTCATGGATAAAATAGAAAGGAAGATAATAAAACTAAACGCTTGCTTAAAACGTTATCTCCCCTAGCCCATTGAACTAAAATACATCTGGAACGCTTACTCCCACACTTTGTCTCATGATCGGTCAAAGCCAAGTATACATTAAAATTTTTCAACCCTCCTCACCCCCAAAAATAAGAGGTTTTAAAACTTACAGTGATAATTTTGAATAGTTTTAAAAGGACTGGCGCTACCCAAATCACGGTTTCACCCCCCAGAGGTATCTGTTTAGTATACTTAGAGTATAATTCAACGGGGTGAAACCAAAACTTGTTTCAAGGCATGCGCATACATGTGCGCTTAAAGAAATTGATGCACCACCAGCATTGATTGCAGTGACTTAAATAATGATTTTCTGAAATGAGTAGAATGGTAGTCTTGCAGGCTGGCTATGCCAGTGATTTTAAATGCAGAAAAACTAAGATGGAGTGAAGCTTTATGCTTGAACAGCAGCGTAAAAGGATACATCGATAAGCTTAACTTTTCAAGCTGAAAATAAAAAAGAAAACATGTTTTAGCTTTGACAAGTCTCTGTATTCTTAATTTCTTACCTCATAAAATCATTCAAAAAACACTTTGAAAAGACTGTTCTGTGTAGGTAAATTTTACATGATCGTTATTCACTTCTTTAGAAATATATTGTTTTTACAGTGAGTAAAAAGAGGAATATTTACTTAGCACGACTAAACATGCTGGCTGGCTACCCGCTAAACCATTGACACTCACACTTTACACAGATACACCGAAAAAACTCAATAGGAATGACATGTGTATCATTTTCCTCACAAAAATGAGAAAAAGTAAGTAACTGTGGATGCAGTTTCATAAAATAACAAATATGATGGGTGTCGTTACCAGTCTTTCCACGTAACCAGTCTTTCCTCGCGTGGCTGGGTATAAAATTTGGCTTTATTTTTTTTAATATGCATTTCTATTACAGGTAGCGTTTCATGTATTTATATTTATTGTTACATAGATGCTGACAGCTGATCTGAGCCAGCAATGGAAGGCAATTAACTAGAATTCAGGACTGAAAACCAGTCGAGCAGTACCGTTGATGAACTTTTTTCATTTCAATATCTTTCAAGCATGGCGTCAAGCGAATGTTAACATACATCCTACTATGCTTGACTAATTTCTTTTCAAAATGATGTCACTTTCATAAGAAATCAGCGTGGCATAACAGAAAAAATGAAAACACTCTCCCCCCTCCCCCTCAATTAACGTTTGTTTAAAGACGGTTCTTTCAAAGATTTCTACTAAACTGAAGACTTGGAAAAAGTTGTCAGGACTTGATATGTACGTACATTTGTTCTTGCAATACTTTAAAAGTACGGTTGCTAATGTTACTATCCCTAAAATACTCACATCTTTCATGAGTTTTTCAAGATTACGATTTCTTCCCACTTCTTCGTGTTCTTTTCTAAAAACATGAGCAAAATTTTACAAACTCTACAACCACTGAGCTCTAAAATCATTGAACAAATTCTACAGCCAGTGGAAAGCTCTACACAGTTAATGAACAAACTTTATAGTCACTGAGCAAACATTACAGCCTATGCATTTTTGCATTAAAATTTTTTACTTGCAATTCTACATTTTGTTTATAATTTATTGCTTATGAAATAGTGATGTTTTGAATCCAAAACTAAGGGTGAACCTCAAACCATGGATATTTAAAAACAGTTTGAGTTAAATCAGTATGAACAGTAAATACATGAAAAAAGTGTTTTTATTTCACGATTCATGATTTTTATTTCATAGATTCATCATCTTTTGCCTCCTTGTTAAGAAGGTTCAACTATGGAGCTTAGGACTCAATCTTCATTTAATACTAATTTTAATATACTACTTACCGAAGTGATTCATCAACATCCAATTCAAAATGTAATTGAGCTAAAGATTCCTGTGATTCACGAACTTTGTCCATTTTGTCGAGAGTTTGTTCCTTACCTGGAAACAATGTAATATGGTTGAACACTTTTATTAATTTCTTGCTCATGAAACTTGAGTTCTTATATACTCCAGTCTAGTGTCTTCATCAGGACTGATCTGATGTTAAAACTAGAGTTCTTATATACTCCAGTCTAATGTCTTCATCAGGAGTGATCTGATGTTGAAACTTGAGTTCTTACATACTCCAGTCTAGTGTCTTCATCAGGAGTGATCTGATGTTGAAACTTGAGTTCTTACATACTCCAGTCTAGTGTCTTCATCAGGAGTGATCTGATGTTGAAACTTGAGTTCTTACATACTCCAGTCTAGTGTCTTCATCAGGAGTGATCTGATGTTGAAACTTGAGTTCTTATATATACCGGTCTAGTGCCTTAATCAGGAGTGACCTGATGTTGAAACTTGAGTTCTTATATATGCCGGTCTAGTGTCTTCATTAGGAGTGACCTAATGTTGAAACTTGAGTTCTTATGTACTCCAGTCTAGTATCTTCATCAGGAGTGATCTGATGGTGAAACTAGAGTTCTTATACACTCCAGTCTAGTGTCTCCATCAGGAGTGATCTGATGTTTAAGCACGAGTTCTTATATACTCCAGTCTAGTGTCTTCATCAGGAGTGACCTGATGTTAAAACATGAGTCCTTATATACTCCAGTCTAGTGTCTTCATCCGGAGTGATCTGATATTTGATCTTTAGTTGATATAACTATGTAAACTCCAAGATCATTTCAGAAGACCATCAATCATTTCTCAGGAATTTTCGCATATTTCGATAATAACAACCATACCAAATGCGTGCAATTTTCCATCATTGAAATCTCTCATAAGATCTAATAAATCCTTCTCCATTCGCTTAACTTCGCTGGGATCCGTAAGGAATGCATGCTGTTGTACCGGATTTGCACTTTCACCTGCATCAGTTCTCACTGCTTTTCGCTTTTCTTTGCCACCATACATTTGCAGAATATCAAGAGTTGCTACAAAAACAATAACATTTATTAAAGACGAAATGTTTATGTACCAACTGCGCAAGCGCACGAAGCTTCCTAAAAATGTGTAAAACATAGATGCGCAACGCGTACGTTTGAAAAATGTTATAAAAGTTTCTATAATTTAGTTTAGAAATTTATGGTTTTCCATACCTGTTCATAGTACTTTTTCTGGGACTTAATGTGGAAGTCTGACAATTAAGGATTTTTATTAATTTGGTTAATGGTAAAATATTACTTCTCGTCAAAGCTTGTGCGCAGTTTATGCACCTCCAAATGAAAAAATCCTCTGCGAAAACTTCTGTTTTTCAAAAATAAATACTAAAACTTGATATTTTGTTATTTGGTGAAAAAGCACTGCGGGACAACATGCGTGAACAAAAAAACGAGAAAATTTCGGTGGAGCATACACACGCCATGTGACATTCAATTTATAAAAAATCAAATAATTCAAGGGATCAAAACGCCTGGGTACGAGGCTGTAATATCGCTAAACTAATTGCTTAATGTAAAGTGCTTTAGCAAATTAAGTTTTTTGACAAATTTTGGCTTTAGTTGAAATAAATATGAAAGAGACATACGACAAACTTCTCATGTTTCTCCTAGTTCTTCAACTCATCTTTCTTTGCCGTTAGTTGGTTCAAAGAATTTTTCATTATTAAATAGAAAAACAACATAGTGAATATTAATAAATAGTTGGAAAAAAACTTGTATTACGAGCTCAATATCAATAAAAAATTGTTTTTGCTTTCGGAAGCTGAAATTTTTAGTCAACTTGCAATAACCTTTTTTATTAATTTATTCCTTATTTTATAAATGATTCCGAAAATGAGCTGCAGTTATTTGTTTTGACGTAACCTAAGTTCGCCACTGCTACTGGTCAGACAAATAAATTGTTTTGTACAAACAACCTCTTTAAGTTCTCAAGAGAAAATAGAGCGGATGAAAACAAATTTGTGTTCATATTCATTTGTTCATTGAAAAGCTATGAGTTTTGTTTGTTTGTTTTTCTACATTAATCAATATTGTTTTATCTTTTCTCTTTTCTCTTCAGGTTTTGTTCTTACGACACAACTTGTAATTCGCCAATGAGAAACCCCAACTTTATTGTTCCAATTGAATTTACTAAATCTCTGCATCACTAATCAAAAATCAACATTAATTGTCTGATGTTAACATATTGAGGGTAATTTGAAGATACATTATACATATACACATAAAGGCCTTACAAAAGTTGTGGTATCTGAAAATTTGTGACTGAGCGAGCTTATTTCTCCATAATCGGTACTTGTACATACAGTTCGTCTTTGCCTTGACCATGAACTTGGAGAGTTCGTGGAGTTGACCAAGCATGCTCAGATTAATTCTCAATTAATTTGTGATGGAGCGATCTCTGAAATTGGTGCTTGTATATGCGCTCAGCAAATTTTCAATCATATATTTTTGGCATGCTTTTTGTTCTACAAATGCATATCAACACTTTTTTACGCCATTCGTAATTTCCGTGACAATGTTACAGGTATTTTTATTTTTCTCTATACCTTTGTATCTGCATATTTTGTGCACAAACAATGCTCTAATATTTATGTCAGATATTATAATTCATCGATTGAGGTAGAAGAAATACTTGAAAATGAAACTTCCAACAGTGAAACAAAATGAAGCATGAAAGAGGAGAAACAACGACGCTAGGTTGAAGATAGCTTGATGAAATTGAACGTAGATGAAGCACCTAGCGGACGCTCGAGAGTTTTGGATGAGGGCTCGCTGACCAATGAAAACACGAATGATTCGAAGCATGTTGACGACGATTCAAACCATTTACATTATCTAATAGTCAACTTTTGAGGACAATTGTATAAAGAGCAGTTTTTCAGTGTTTATATTTTGGTACACATATGAGTTTTCAGCTGTTAATGTCACACTTTCAAGATACACACACACACACACACAAATCAAAGATCAACTTTAATTACAAAGAAACAAAATTGCATTCTTCGACCATCAATCAATGAGGATATAAATTAATATTTACTTTTAATATGAATACTATATTTATCTTGGATGACAGCAGTATGTAATCCTTTCCCCTGGCAGAATGCTACAGATTTGCTCAGTTCGTCCACACATATCGCGTAGAATTCCTGTTAGCCATGGAAAAGTTTGGCAACGGCATGACACGAGTGTTTTGTCTAAAAATCAAACAGATATAACTGGCAGCATATGAATTTTAACCATCTAGATTGAAAAAAGAAAGTGATCTACTTGTTTTTTTTCTAATATCTTGAATGATTCATGATTGTGACAGACATGACGAATAACCCCTTACCAAAATTTTGTGGGATCGTCTGGGATCGCAAAAATCGCAATAATTGGCTAAAGATTTTGTTCCCAAATCTCATTAGCTAGTTAAGTTCATATCATAGATATTTTTGCAATGTCAATGAATGAAAAGAAATTTATCAATTTTATATAAAAGATATCTAAATGTTAGATTTACGTTGATTTTCATTTAAATTTGAACAGGTAACCACTAGGTATTTCTACAATCAATTAGGATCAGGTGAACATATATGCTAAAACCTTATAGTTTAAACCAGGGGTCTCCAAACTACGGCCCGCGGGCCTCTCAATCTGACCCGCAGAGACACTTAAGAAAAAAATAATAATATTGTTAAACAAAATAAACTTTGTGCAGAAAGTTCACGTTATGACGCAAGTCAACTAGCAAGAGTGGCTTACATCAATTTTTGTCCCAACTTCCTACTGAGACAGAATCTGTTGACATGCCATATTACACTGCAGTAAGATGGCTAAGTTGTGGAAAAGTGCTTTCAAGGGTTTTTGAGCTAAGGAAGGAGCTATTTTCTTAACTAATGAAGCTTGTGTTATGTACTTCGTTTTATTAAAATATTCGCTCTTTGACCAGCGGTATACGGTTCGTCGGCCCTCAACATGCTGAATGAAAGTTCATGTGGCCCTATGGCTATAAAGTTTGGAGAGCCCTGGTTTAAACAACAACATCCTTTTCCTAATTCTTAAAAAGGTTCATTATTTACCTGGTTTTTCGACAGCTTCTATGTTTGTGACAGGCAAGGATTTCAAACAATGAAAAAAACTCAGCATAATGACAACATATGTCAAACAATTCATTTCGTTGTTACTGAAAGTAAAAATGTGAACAATGGAGAATAGCTAAATATTAAAATACAACTCTAAAAACTCTTCAAAGCACATGACACACGAGTTAGAAATCTACTAGAAATCTAAATAACAACATCAACAATCAAGCATGGATTTATAAGTTTTAGAAATAAGCACGATAAAAACAGGAAATGAAAAACATTTTAAGAAAAAATTAAGTGGATGCAGTGGTTGTTTATAAGTAAGCACTTAGCATTTAGAAGATAAATCTTTGTGTTAACGACAAACACCCTTGTATGAAAAAATGGATAAATGATTATTTACAAAATATCAAAATTCAAACCAGTGATTTGAGTGGTCCATAGCTGATCAAGTTTGCAATGACCTGCGCAAACCGACATGAGCTCAATAAATTAAATCAAAGAAAATTTGCAAATCAATCATGAATTCGTGTCAAAGGAAAAATTATACTACGCTCTTGCTAATTGCTGCTGATTGAGTTTTTGAAAAACACATGCAGTGCAAGATAGGATGCAATTAAATTGATTCTTGACTAGATTTAAAACTCCTATATCACTATATCAACTTTTGCCACATTATCAACTCTTATGACGAATCTTGTGATTTAAATCATTATTGTGCAAGCACTAAGATATACGAAATTTCTAAAATGTTGATTTGTAGTTCAATGTTTAATTTGACTAATTTTGTATCATATATAAAAAGCAACGACAAATAACCATTAAAATATCAAAATTTAAGAGACCGCCAGTTCTTGACAAACTTTGGAAAATGAACTTTGATTTTATTTGTGGCCCTAGCTCCTAGCTGACAAATTCAATTGCAAAAATACAAAATTTGACATGGAAGCATAACATCTAGTGACTCTAGTCGGGTTAAGTAAAACCGTATGATAGTATTTTCCAATTTGAGTAAAGTATGTCAAAAAATATTCAAAATAGTTATTAACAATGACAAGAAACTTTATTTGCAAAATAACACTTTTATAGAATGAATTGCAGCATGGGAAAATAGTTTCATTTATTTAAAGAGAAATCCATACCTAATACAAGCAGAAATCCATACCTAATACAAGTCTTACCTTGGTATAATAGACTTGTTCAAGATAAGATGCACAGTGGAAGGTTGTTCGTAAACAAATTGCTTGCGACTACTTTACACATAATATATTCATTACGAGATCAAATATTTGCATGACAGCCTTGTGTTTGAAAAAGAAAGTCTTATGACAAGATCATGGCATGATGCTAATCGTAAGATACACTAAACTTGGTTATTGCCTTTTGCTAAATCTATTGCATCTCCAAATAAAACACGTTTCCCTGCAAAAATCATTGTTTTTTAAAAAATGGATACTAATGCAGGCTAGCTACGTGCCTCGAGTTAGGCCAAAACATATAACTGTTTGCAAAAACTTCATTATTTTAATTGGGGCTGTGTCTTACATTGTTAACGACCTGGCTTTAACCACCAACATTTAGGTCATTTCGATTATAGTCTTTTGGCGGATTGTATTTAGTCTATCCAAGTCTGTCATGTTTCTGCTCATGTAATATTCAAAACAATGAAGTGTAATTTATATAATCACTTGAGTATTGAATGATTTCCTTTACTACGTTTGTACTTGATATCGTAATTTTAAAAATTCACCTTTAAAAGGAAAGAACGTTTTGCAATTGAAATAAAATTACAATGCATTCAACAAAGTTATCAAGCTACAGCAATTCAAGCGATGGTACGTGGTTAACGAAGCACTTTGTACTCTGAATCTTTAATATCAAGACTCTATAGCTTTCATTGAGTATTTTATGAATATTCTTCATTTTAGACAGTGATTTAGATACATTAAGGTCGGATTCGACCTTTCTGCCTGTTTATTCTCCGCTGAAGAATTCGCTGGGGGATCATCAAAGTATGAAGTTAATTTTAACGTCTGTCAACTGTTAATTTTTAACTTTATGATTGGAATCTTCATTACCAACATAAGTATTCCATTTTCCTCCGCATTCAGCTCCCTCAAACATAAATCATTGAATTTTTGCATGGCCCTAGTTGTCCTTCCTTTTCACAGATGATATTTAAGTCTTTGGTAAAACCATCTTAAAAGGTAATAATTTCATTTTTCTCTCTCATTATTTTACATAGAAGAACTTGAAAGTTATTTAATGGGCGATTACTCGAAAAATGCCAAAAACGCGAGTTATTGTGGAACCAATGTTGAAAATGAGTTTCCTATGCTGACCGAAGAAGAAGCGAGCAAGCTCATTAACTTGGCTGCAACAATCCTTCAAGCTCAAATTAGAGGATTTTTAGTCCGTCGCAGATTCAATTTTATAGAGTACAAGAGATTAAATGTTGCTGCTATGAAAATACAGGCTGCTTGGTATGAATATGAAAAAAACAATTTTTCTTAGTCCAATTTGTTTTGCATGACATGCTTCATCATAATATATCTTCATGTATTTATATATCAACACCAATGGCCTCGCCAAGTTTGTAGGACTGGGGAGGGGGAAATTGAAAGATGTGGCACTTCTGGGGGGGGGGTTAAAGTGTAGGATGTCTCTTGGGGCATGGGGTGGGGCTATTATTCATATATGCATGTTTTACTTTATTAGTTTCTATTGAAATCAATTGTGGTTACGGATTATAACATATGAATATATGAGTATAGCCCCCCAATTATCAATGTTCCACTGTGTGTGTGGAGAAGGCCTTCATAAAAATATTTGTTTGTCGGATCTTAAAAATCCCATGTCCCACATTTTTCTAAAAGCTTTATTATTCTTTGAAAGACACATTATAAGGGGAATTTTCTGTTTTTGATCCAAATATGTCAACTAGGGTATACAGTTGTACACAGTTGTATCAACAACATCCCTTTCTATCCTGAAATGTACCAAGTTATGACAATGCTCATCAGACATCACATGAATGTTACAACTTTAGAGTATACTTTTGAACACAGTTGTATCGACAACATCCCTTTCTATCCTGAAATGTACCAAGTTATGACAATGCTCATCAGACATCACATGAATGTTACAACTTTAGAGTATACTTTTGAACACAGTTGTATCGACAACATCCCTTTCTATCCTGAAATGTACCAAGTTATGACAATGCTCATCAGACATCACATTAATGTTACAACTTTAGAGTATACTTTTGAACACAGTTGTATCGACAACATCCCTTTCTATCCTGAAATGTACCAAGTTATGACAATGCTCATCAGACATCACATGGATGTTACATCTAGAGTATACAATTGAACACAGTTGTATCAACAACATCCTTTTCTATCCAGAAATGTACCAAGTTATGACAATGCTCATCAGACATCACATGGATGTTACATCTAGAGTATACTATTGAACACAGTTGTTTCGACAACATCCCTGTCTATCCAGAAATGTACCAAGTTATGACAATGCTCATCAGACATCACATGGATGTTACATCTAGAGTATACTATTGAACACAGTTGTTTCGACAACATCCCTTTCTATCCAGAAATGTACCAAATTGTGACAATGCTCATAAGACATCACATGGATGTTACAACTAGAGTATACTTTTGAACACAGTTGTATCGACAACATCACTTTCTATCCTGAAATGTACCAAGTTGTGACAATGCTCATAAGACATCACATGAATGTTACAACTAGAGTATACTATTGAACACAGTTGTATCGACAACATCCCTTTCTATCCTGAAATGTACCAAGTTATGACAATGCTCATAAGACATCACATGGATGTTACATCTAGAGTATACTATTGAACACAGTTGTTTCAACAACATACCTTTCTATCCTGAAATGTACCAAGTTATGACAATGCTCATAAGACATCACATGGATGTTACTTTGATCTAGTTGAAATGATAATGTAGTTTCTGTAATATTTATAATTGTTTTTAATAGTTTGTGGGTATTATACTTACATACTAATAATATTGTCACTCATAAAGATATTCTTTAAATCAAATGTTTATAACTTCTACTCAATAAAATATTTTTCAGGAGAGGTTATTACTTTCGAAAGTACAGTGCAAGAGGATTGAGTTTGAGGAATGAGATACGTGTGAAAAGATTACAGAAATATATATGCACCTTGTGTATGGTTATTCAAAAGTATGATTTCACCTTTGGAAATATTGTTGTGCATGACAATTATGGCAACTTTTTGTGCATGACAATGATGGAAACTTGTTGTGCATGACAATGATGGAAACTTGTTGTGCATGACAATGATGGAAACTTGTTGTGCATGACAATTATGGAAACTTGTTGTGCATGACAATGATGGAAACTTGTTGTGCATGACAATTATGGAAACTTGTTGTGCATGACAATGATGGAAACTTGTTGTGCATGACAATGATGGAAACTTGTTGTGCATGACAATGATGGAAACTTGTTGTGCATGACAATGATGGAAACTTGTTGTGCATGACAATGATGGAAACTTGTTGTGCATGACAATGATGGAAACTTGTTGTGCATGACAATGATGGAAACTTGTTGTGCATGACAATGATGGAAACTTGTTGTGCATGACAATTATGGAAACTTGTTGTAATTATATAGAAAAAATACAGAACATGAAAATGAAACTTCCAGACTCTTGGAAATAATTTCCCTACTCTGTTGTAAGGTTAGTTGTAATGTCTGTTTATTTACGATTATAATTGCCATCCTCTCTCATCCATAAACGTGGCCAGTTTTTTAGGATGATTCTTCATACAAAGATGTTTTTAAATGTTTTATTTTGTACTGTAGCTTGAGAAAGTTACAGAAAAAGTTGACAAATTTGACATAGTTAACGACGAAGAGTGTAAACCAAAGATGAAATGTAAAGGTAAGAGTTTTTTCATGACCTGCATTGAGTTGTATGGAGCATTAAAGTTTTTAGGACTTGGGCAACGTTTAATGTTTGTAAATGTAGATCGCCCAGGCTGGTATAGTCCTGAGAAGGACTGTTTTTGTTTTTGTTGACTGACGTTTCGACTCTGAAGATGACTACCGCTAAGGCTGTCGAAACGTCAGTCAACAATAACAAAAACAGTCCTTCTCAGGACTATACCAACCTGGACGATCTACATTTACAAACATGTAACGATACTCCCGTGTTCAAACCATTCACTTTATTGGGCAACGTTTGTCGCTCATTTCGTATTCGACAGTGTCGCTCACACCAGCACTCGCTGATTGAGACTTGAAAATCACTCAAAAACTATTCGAAGGCGTTATTTTCACTCCACTAAATACTTACTTTGTAGTAGTTGAGCAAAAATCGTGCCATTAATTGAAAAAAAGAGGTGGCAACATGATTTTAATGTCGTACCCAGTGAGTAGTGATGTGGTTTTGTAATGTGATGGCGATATCATTTTATTTATTTTCAAAAGTGCGCATCTTGTCTTGTTTTTTTTTAAGAATATAACCATTATATTACCTTATATATTGTACATGTTTACATTCAGACTCAGATGTGGATCCTGTATTTTATCCTCATCCTCGATTCTCGAAAATGTCAGAACTGAATAAAAACACCAATGACATTTCCGGCCAAAGTTTTACCCATAATTCAGAGATAGCTTTAACAAAGAGAATGAAGATGGATGGCTTGAGACTTGACAGCACATCTAGGAAATGTGGTAAAAATTCAAGCGACGATAAACTCGATGTTTTTGATGCAGCGAAAACAGGATTTCATGGGAACAACGTGGATAATTCAAAAAATCATAAAGCGGAGGAGATTGGGACAATTGTGGATAAGAGTTGGATAAAGTTTGATAATACAGGTCCAGCGAAGGACATGTCAGAAATCTACGAGAGTTCTTTTGATGTACATGAGAACGATACATCAACTATGGTGGTGGATGTTGTCAAACATGATAATATAGACGAGAGTCATGTGTTGATAGAGGGGGATAACGTGGATATGGATGCAGGTAGCCCTGACGAAGGCAATACACTCGAGGATAATGGTGATTGTTTTGAGGATACAAAAACATTCCAAGATTCATCCGATCATCTTAATTCTCAGTCTAGCAGCGGTATTGCAGCATTTACAGAGGATAATGATGGATCGAGCATGATAGAGTCCAAAGAATTCGACGCGACGGTCGATGTTTGTGATTTGTTAAAAACTATCGACACCGATAGGAAATTGCCAAAGGATGAAACTGTAATCCCAGATGCAAATGAAGAAAGTTTAGAGTCAATGAAGAATAGCGAAGGATCTTCTATTGAGCAAACGCTAAACAAGGAGATGAATGAAGAAAATGCTGAAAGGAATGATGGAAGCCATGTTGGCGATGTTTCCATGGTGAAAGAGGTATCGGACAACGTCATAGACGTCGTAAGCCTGAGTAATATCACTGATATTGATAAAATGTCCCGCAAGAATGGGGACGTCGATGTACCTATAAGCATCGTTGAGGATCAATTGAAAGATGGCGATAGCAATGCTGAGTTTGTTTCAATGCAGACTGAGGATATGGAAGGATGTTTTGAGGGAATTTGAGTAAAGTAGGAAATATTCAGTCTGAGAATCATTCATTGGATGGCCGTATGAAGGATAGTGAAAGCAGTATAGAGATGATTGTAGGGAGCACTGATGATTACGTGAGGGACATAGAGGATGGTAGTGATAATCGTGAAAGTGATAATGTGTATGATGTGGTGCAATCTGACGATCATTACAGCGAGGATAGCGTAGCTGTAATTGAGATTGGCGATAGAGTGAGCAATATGGATAATGTGGAGAAAGATATGGAAAGCATTGAGGATAAAAAGCAACGTAGTTTTGACAGTGGATGACCACGATGAAATGTCAAGGAGTATAGGGAACTTTGATAACAGTAGTATAGCGACATGTATTGAGTACGGTGATGTGAAGGATGCACAGGATCATATAGGGTCAGTGAAATTTGATGGAAAGGTTGAATTAGCAACAACGAAGGATTTTAATAACACCGAGGTCAATTTAAGAATATTTGATAATGGTGAAAGGTCTATTGATGAAAATCCTTGTAACCATAGCGAAACATCTCTGCATGTCATTGACGCTGACCATGATACAACGACGGCTCACATCGATAACAAGTTATCACATGAAGAAGGGAAAACTTTAGATTGTGAACAAAATAACAGACGTTCGAGTTTGACTGAACGCGCTTCCACGTTGTTGTCTGCCCTTAAGAACGAAATCATCAATCTTAGTGTGAAAGATTACAATCAACAAGATTAATAAAATCTTTGCCGTCGTAAAACATATCAAAGTTGATGTTGCAAACCTTACTTATTAAAATTGATATTACTGATTTCTTGTACCCAATACTTTTGATAAAATAAATATTCAAATTTCTCTTACCCACTGCCTATGATTTTCAACTCTCTCGTCCCCTGTAGGCTGTTTTCATCGGTCGCCATGTTTGTTAAATATCCTATATAATAAAAGGAAATTACGTAATATTGATTGGATGCTCCAATATGGCCGCTTTTACGTCACATGAAAACACTCGTATCCAGTACCATCGTTACCCAAATTTCTCGTTCTCAATTATTTAGAACCCAAGCCTCTAGTTATCTAACTAACGTGTGAACGTGTTGGCATAGGCTATGTTTAAGCAGGGTACTGGGTGTGCGATAGTTGAGCCTGGGACTGTGTTTGTGTTAGTTGAGCAGAGTACTGGGTTTGAGTTGGTTGAGCAGGGTACTGGGTATTTAATGTTTGACTACAAATGCAGTGGAAGCTACGACAATAGCTTGGAGACAAATTGTGAAAACTTGGGGACAAAAATATACCGAAGTGCTTCAGGTGATTTAGACGGCACCGACCGCTTAGATTTCTTCTTTTTCATCCGTAAAGTAACATTGCTTAACGTGTCGCTCAGTCAACACTATGTGATCAATCCATGAAAGATGGCAAATATATGTAACTGTTAACAATGTGATATTATAAATTCATTCAACTAATGCAAATTTGCCGCGTAACTCTTGTTGACAAAGTAATTGCAACACTTTTTCATCAAAAATTTTCATATTTCATAAAAAGGTTTTTTTCAAACATTCCGAAACTTGCCAAAATGGTTCGAAGTTTTATCATGTAAGAATTCATTCGTAGAATTAATTTTGGAAGTTGTTCGAAAGCTGTATTTGTTCAAAAGGCGCACGGACGTGAGTTGCAGGTGGATGGGTAAATATTAGCATTTCCTATTAATGCCCATATATTTGTGAAGCAAATTTGTCAATACAACAAAATTATGTTTCATTTCGTCCATTTTCATTGCAAATTTCATTCTTGATTGCAGTGCATATAAAAATTGAAACCGTCAAAGTTTGCCTAAAATATCTCGATCTTCTGATCGATGGTATGTTTATGAAAAAACTTTAAAAAAATTAATCGAATTTTCGGGCAATATATACGTAATAAGTTGAGAAAAAGTATGGCAAATACAAGATCGGAATACGACGATAAAAATCTAAGGAAGAACGCCATGTCTGGGAGGCGGTTGAAAATCGAGTTGGACCGAATAGATAACGTAAAGGATCAGTTAACAAGACACTACAGACACGAAGAAGACATGCTGCGCAAAGAATTGAAGGAAGATGGCGAGTTTTCAAGATTTCGAACGATGGATTCCCATGATTTACAAGCACCGTTGTCGCTATGCGATAGGAAAACGTTGACGCCTCGATTTGCAAGGAGGCAAAGTGGTATTCAACTGAATAGTTCTTTTCCTCCAATTTCTACAAAGTCAGACGCAAGATTTTTGCCGGGCAGGCGCTCTTCCATGGACAAACGAAGATCCTCGCTATCTCCAACTAATCCACTACAAGAATGCATAACTATACCCATCGGGGCAGAGGATCGCAGGAGATCTAAGGATACTTTGATGGTTCCTAAGTTACTTGCGAGACGAGGATCCGAAAACAACGCTTTGGAACACGGTAATAACATCGAGGGTAGGATAAATGAGTTTTATCGAAAAGTAAGTAAGTCAGTCGAGAATGTCAGCTATCTACCGTTAAAATGAAACAGTCAGAAACAAACGAGGAATACATCACTCACAACGAGAGTGGATGAATTGTGAATAGAAAGCTAACTGGAAAATGACACCGAATAGGGTTTATGAAACTGATAATTTATAAGAGCACGGTTGTCGTTTCTTTGTTTTACATTCAAGATGCAATACGCATGCGTCATACACCTGCCGTAAAACAATCGACATTTTTCATTTTTGGCTTAAAAGACTGCGTGAAAAAAGTAGTCAGAGCTGAGGGGTTTCCCGTCATGAAAACTGTTAATTTGTACTTTATGGTTGAAAAAGGACGCATCTTCAGCTGGACGCATTTCCTTGAACGACTTTATTTCATCCTTTACATGCGATCTGACAATGCCTAAAAAGACTGGAAACAGTTCTATAATTCAAATGCATTTCTCGATTAGAACATTGTAATATCTCTTTAATTATACTAATTTCGGTTTGAAATTTATCTAAGAACTATGGCTTTCATGTCTGAACGTACAGCAACAAAATTTCGTATATAAAGAATAGATAAACATACATAATCGACTAAGTGCAGTACAATTGACTTTATTTTGGATATTAGCGCTTTCTGAGTGCTGATTGGTTGAAATGCATTCTGAGTTCTAATTTCGCGTGCGTTCATTAAATTATAACAATACGGTGCAAATTTAATTACTTAATAAAAAACAGTTTGATAACAAAGAACTCGACTATTAACACAGACCATTGACTGTTTATCATGCTTTATACTTACCTCAATAAAACTAACACCGTTTACATTGTTGATTAGAATACAAATTCTTATTGATTGAACGGGGGGGATTTGTTTTACAATAACAAGACATACATGTAGTGGCCAATTGCACTTTGCCAACCTTAAACACAAAATACCTTTGAATTGTGTTTATGCCTCTTTGGCAGGCAAGCAATGAGTGCGAGGCGCCGTTTCAGTCAATAATCTCTCGCTCATTCTTTCACTCCTTCCCTGCTCGAGTTTTTGTTAACATGTTTAAACAAATCAACAGCATTTAAAAGAAAGTTTAGTTGATGCTAAATTTATTTATGTAAGTCTCAACAGTCAACATGTAAGTCTCTTATTCATTGCGCATAACTAAACGCTTTTTTGAAGTTTGTGAACTCGTCCATTTTAGTTTTCTATTTTAGAAACAGAACTGTTTGAATAACCATAAAATTAATAAGCAGAAACGCCAAGAGTCCCAAGACTCCTAATAGAAGTGATTAACATCCATTCTCAACAAGTTAGCTACTTCAGGTTTTCAGCTGCGCCGTCGTTATGTTTGGAATGCGGTCGATGCTTGCCTACATAATAGTGGGTTGATGCAAAATCGGTGGAAATAAGGAAATGGCAGTGCTCAATGTTGTTTTACGCGTTTTCCCGCTGTCTGCGATTGCAGAACCAAACTCTGACCACTTCCTTATCCAGACCAAGACTGTCTGCAATTCTGTAAATTTCCAAGGATGATGGCTTTGGATGTTTGATGAAATGTCGCTCCAACGCTTCCTTTGCGTTTAAACTAATCGTCGTTCTTTTCTTTCTTTTACGATCTTGTCCGAGATCGTCTTCGCCATTGTCCGCCTCCTGGCGTTCTGCTTCGGCTAACCATCGTGTAAGGATCGGCTTCAGTTTGTAAGCGTTCTTCAGGCTCAGTTGAAGATTCTCGAAACGACATATGGTTGTTTGGCTGAAGTCGGTTCCATGGATTGCTGCTAATGCAGCTCCCACTCCTGTTTGTGTGTAACCCAATTTGATACGGCAATGTTTGAATTCATTTGCAAATCTTTAGAAACAAAGTTTGACTGAAATAAACTCAAACAAACTTAAACATTTTCACTTCACAAACAGAAAAAACTTGTTCCATATGAAAATAGTAATTACTACAGAAACAAATTATATTTTTATGAGACAGAGAACATGATATCTTAGGAAACAGGAAACATGAATATCTTAGGGAACAGAGAACATGAATATCTTAGGAAACAGAGAACATGAACACCTCATGAAACAGAGAGCATGAATATCTTAGAAAACAGAGAACATGAATATCTTAGGAAAGTGAGAACATGAATATCTTAGGAAAGTGAGAACATGAATATCTTAGGAAAGTGAGAAAATGAATATCTTAGGAAAGTGAGAACATGAATACCTTAGGAAACAGTGAACATGAATATCTTAGGAAACAGAGAACATGAATATCTTAGGAAACAGAAAGAAAGAATATCTTAGAAAACAGAGAACATGAATATCTTAGGAAACAGAGAACATGAATATCTTATGAAACAGAGAACATGAATATTTTAAGAAACAGAGAACATGAATGTCTTAAGAAAAAGTGAACATGAATTCTTTAGGAAACAGAGAACATCAATATCTTAGGGAAAAAGATCATGAGCAATTCAGAAAAGAAAGCTTTTCTCACCTTTCCAGTTCCTGTAGTTGTTTTGCTCGCGCCTCTAATTCTGGATCATAAAATGTATGACTTGTCAGGAGACTGGAACCTGGAGTGTTCAATGCTTGGTTTGGAAGTGCATACGTATAACGACATTGAGGCTGATGAAGGCTGTTCGGTTGACTTGCATTCTGAGATGGAAAACCTGGTATAGTCGATGTAAGAGAATTGTCTATCCCCATTGGACTGACATTAACACTTGTCGCATTAAACGATTCATAACCTTTGTACGATGTATATGCATTATGGTTTGAAAACATTGAACAAGACATATTATTCAACTGATGCATAAAAATGCAAAATATATATTCCTTCTCGACTCTCCCAACTTCTGCTATTCCTGGCGTACGTTGCTTATTCAAGCGAAGCGATCTGAAATCTGTTTGAATGATACATAAGGCTTACAGTTTTATAAAGACGCTATCAATTCGTGGATCTTTTATTCATGTTGGCGGGACTTTTTTTTTGAAGTGTGTTCAAGAACACTAGGTAATAAAGCAGACGGTCTTTTGTTTTCAAATGTGAAACTTGATAACAAATCACGCATGTAGGTTTTGATTTTTTCATATTTGACGTTCGCATGCCGCTATCTGGTATAGAAATGGTATAAATTTATGCAAACAACTTTGAATTATTTTGCATTTTAATCTTAAATAGTATTTTATAGTATGGAAAAATGTGTCACATTTTGATATTGGACAATTAATGCTTAAAAGGGATGATTATACCAATATCGAGTACCCAATATTACTGCCCAAATTTGCTCGGAAAATAACTAATACAGTGCAATAACTTTAAGTAGTTTTGCTGGACCAATTTAAGAGAAGTTGATCAATTCATAAGATTATTTTAAAACGAATTTGTGAGATTTTAACAAAGTTGGAAAGTTTTGTCAAAGACAATTTTTTCAGATTCCGGCTCAAAGTAATACTAATGTTGACAAAAAACGGTCCCGTACACAAATAGCAACGACTGCATATTCTCCAGGTTAGCAATGAACACTTACAGTAAATTGTTTGCCTTTTGGATGAATCTGTGCACGTTCAATAACTTTTCGCCGATCTTTACAATCATATCTGAACGATCATCAAGCGAGTTTAAGTTGACAGCCCCAGAAATTCCCACGATTTAAGCCATAATCGTTTGTTCCAACGCATCGCGCAAATCAAGTTCACTGAACTTCACAACAAAGTCTTCACAACAAAGTCAAAAAGTTAGTGATGATAGACACGAACCCGGTTTTAAATGGATTGTGACGACGTTTGAAATGGTTGACGTGAATTTGACAACATTTGTTTTAAAACACTTTTTTCTCTAACAAAATGAATAAAAGTTTTCTTGGCACGCGAACAGAAGTTGTAACAAATGAAAGAATTTCAATTTAAAAAAAAATGATACAATTTTTTCACCATATGCAACAGTTCACACGGGAGAGAACACGACGAGTTTTATTTGATAAACTCGATAAAGAGATGAGATGGTCTCTGTTTCATATTACAAAAACGCCACTTAGCAAACGTGTCTCGAAATTATATCAATTATCAGTGTAAATTTTTGGTGAGAATTTGATAAATATTAAATATTAGTGAAAGGTATACAGTGCCCAGATTTTCGGAGAATCGGAACTTAACCTGGATAGACTTCGCAATTCAATTAAAAAACTGGGAATCAGCCTGGAAAAAATGACTTCTTCAAATTTGATTGAACAAATTTTGAAGAAAAGCCTTATGGCCTAAACTCGACGATTTGATTTGATTTGAAAGATATTTATTGTGAAATTAAATTAATTACGCCATCCGTGGAAAATATCGTTGCGCATGCGCGTTATCAATATTCCCAAGAAACAGCTTGCGTGCCAGAGCCTAAAAAGTCGATTTCCAAACAAATATTTCCTCGTTTCTGTATTTTCATTTTTGTTGCCCTGAACACTTGACTAACTATGTCGAGTGCGAATCAAAATTCTCGTATAAAGTCATACAAAAACAAGGGCCTTGACGCCGAAGAATTGCGAAGGAGACGCGAAGAGGAAGGAGTTCAACTGAGGAAAGCTAAACGCGAAGAACAGGTCATAACAAATATGTTTACGGATTTATAGAGCATGACTTTCTTTCTCGTTCGTTTGATGCTATATGTGCTGCTCTTGGAGAATTTAAGATTCGACATAGCTGAAGATTTTTTCCAAAATGTTTTGCATTCGCAGGTTTTCAAACGACGAAATGTCGAATCGTCTGAAATTGACGCTTCAACTCCCGAATTGGATGCCTTGCTTAACGACCCGGCAAGGGTGAGTTAGTTTTATCAAAACTATTTGATGAAGTGGGTGTTTTGATGCCGATGAATGTATTCAAGGCATTTTAATGTATTGTGAAGTTAAAACTATAAGTGTATTTCATTTTCCTAAGTCATTTTCGTAAACACGTTAAATTATATGCGATTGCATCGGACAAAAATGATCTGAATCAAATCATCTGACAAAGTAACTAGTCAGATTTAAGTGATTTTTCCTTATGCGAGCTATTGTTTTCAAAAATAAAGAGCAATTGAATTCACGACTTTGAATCTCTGATAATTGTATCCAAAGATAGCATAATTTTACATAATATATTGCTCTTTCGTTTCTTGGAACTAAAAACAGACATATTTGAGCTATCTTGCAGCTGTGCCCAGAGATTGCTCAATTTAATTTCATGATCCAAATGAATAATTCTGTATCTCTTTGAGATGACCATATAATAAACATCAACTCTGTGTCCTTCATCTAACTTTAAAGTTACCATAATTATTTCAATGTTTCTCCTTCGATACTCTTCAACAGAGTGCATTGGCGCAGTCAATGATTGAAAAACTTTACACAGAAAATGAAGAAGAGCAGCTACTTGTCACTCAGCAGTTGCGTAGACTTTTATCAAAAGGTTTGACAATGAGAGTGTTTGCTAATTCTTTGAATGTGTGTGTATTTAATCTAACTATTACCATCAGCTCAGTCCACTTGACAGACCAATTGTATATTCACTTGAGGTCTCACAGCAACTAACTAACCCCAGTCTTCGAACTGATAAGCTCATTCTTTTTAGTTCATGTACCTTAATCAACTTTAAAAACCAATCTTGCTATTGAGAAACTGTATTGTATTAAATTATAAAATAAACAATGAAATGCATGCGCTGATTGGTCTAGAGCTGTGTTTGCATTAGCCTGTGCAAAATAAATCTGAGCTCAACCAATCAAATCAATTATAGCAATCAATCAGTCAAAGAGAATTTGCAAATTGATCATGAATACATTTTAGAGGAAAAATTGAAATGTTTGTCTTTTTCGCATTATTGTTATTTTATAAAAGAAATAAAGATGTTTTTCTTGTTTGCACTGACTTATGCAAACCTTGGAGACGTTTGTGAGAACTCTCAAGCATGTGCAACACTCGACCTTTGGTCTCGGGCTTGCACTGATCTGCTCTCCAAGCTCTTCCAAAGGTCTCCTCAGTTTGCATATGTCTGTGCAAACACAGTAAACATCTTTTATTTCCTAAATGATGTACCAATGTCAACTCTAGAACTGATCTATCTTATTTGTTGAGCAGTTGGTTGAATTGATATATTTTATTAACTCTAGAACCCAATCCTACTATTGAGGAAGTTGTGTTGAATTGATATATTTTATTAATTCTAGAACCCAATCCTCCTATTGAGGAAGTTGTGTTGAATTGATATAATTTATTAACTCTAGAACCCAATCCTCCTATTGAGGAAGTTGTGTTGAATTAATATATTTTATTAATTCTAGAACCCAATCCTCCTATTGAGGAAGTTGTCAACAGTGGAGTGATTCCTAGACTTATTGAATTCTTGCAAAGAGAAGATAATCATGTCCTTCAGGTAGACATTTTCATTAGAATGGTCTTTATCTATGGAAAGTATCAAACTCTTTTTTGGAATGTTTGATGAACTATTTAATTAATCAGTTCCATGGGTAATTTTCTTCATAAAATGATGTAACTTAAATCTTTATTTTATTCAATGTAAGTCTTACTGGTTAGAAAGATGAAAATTAGAAGATACATTTTATTATAATGAACATACATATTGAGTTAAGACATACTTTTTTCTTTTTTAGTGCGCTTTTTACACATTTTTTAAAATTGTCAGTTGAACATGGTTTTTAGTTTAAAATGGGTGTCGGTCTGTTAGATACACCCGTAGTGTCCCCAATAAATACCCAATCTTTATGGTGTGTTTTTTATACCAGTTATGTGGTGTGGCATATGGTAAAATGTTGCCAAAAATTGAACTTGGTTTTATGACTTGCTTCCATTCAATATTTACATTGTCACTAGTTTGAAGCTGCGTGGGCATTAACAAACGTCGATCTGGGACACAGACTCAGACAAGACATGTTGTTGAAGCTGGAGCTGTTCCAATATTCATTGCTTTGATGAAGTCACCACATGAAGATGTTCAAGAACAGGTTTGTAAAGCACTTGTCTGTTGGTGTTGTTTCTTTGAAGTTGATGTCAGTTGGGAGAGTCTGTGTAAAGTGTGTGGGGTATAAAGTGGGAGTGGGGTTATGTGTATGTAAGGTGTATAGGGTATAAAGTCGACTGGGGTTATGTGTATGTAAGGTGTATAGGGTATAAAGTGGGACTGGGGTTATGTGTATGTAAGGTGTATGGGGTATAAAGTGGGACTGGGAAAGAGTGGTTTGTATGTAAAGTGTATGGGGTATAAAGTTGGAGTGGGGCTATGTGCATGTAAAGTATCGAGTGAAATGGGGGAAGAGTGGTGTGTATGTAAGGTGTAGGGGAGGGGGGGGGGTGGAGACTTTGACAAGGTCACATTGTTTCATTGATATGTTGTGTTAACTCTCTATGTACGTATATTCCAATTAACATAAGTTTATTGTGTAATTCATTAAGAGCAAATTGCAATTAAATAATCTTGTAAAACTATTAAAGGCCATATACTCGCACTCCTTATGTAAACTTCTGTTTTTTTTTGCATTCTATGGGTCTGCTACTGTAGAAATCTGATTTGCTTGATTTTTCTGCTTTAGGCCGTTTGGGCTCTTGGTAACATCGCTGGTGACAGCCCCGAATGTCGAGATTTTGTCATCAACAATGGCATGTTAGAACCATTATTAACGTATGTATTGTTTTTACTCATACAATATACGTTACTATGACGTCGCGGTTTCGTCACGATATACGTACATTATCCCAACAACTGTGATTTGTACATATTTATATTTTGCTTACATGAATATCATCTTGCAGGATCATAACAACATCAGGAAAGTTAAGCATGGTAAAGAACTCTGTGTGGGCTTTATCAAATCTTTGTCGAGGAAAAAATCCACCTCCTGACTTTGGCAAGGTTTGTTCTTTCACAGAATGTCGTTCTAAAGATTTTACACAGGGCTCGAAATTTTCGTTAGTCCAATATCCACTGGACACCAGATTTTAATATTCTATACTAAATATCACTTGCTTACTATCCAAATGGGATACTAGAAAAATCGAAGTATTTGCAAGATTCTTAGATAGGATCGTTGTGAAATGCTTGTAAACAATGAAAGCTGTAAGTCGCCATCATAACGCAATGAAATTTATAATATATTAATCCTAACACGGATTTTTGATATGCACATGAAAAACATGTGACATGGACGAGATTTGAACTCGCACCTTCGGGATACTAGTCCGCCGCTCTACCTGTTGAGCTACCAATGAAATTTAATTAAGGTTTTCCAAGTGCAGTTTTTTCTGTGACTTAAGATAA